CTCTCTTTGCTATAGTATTGATTCAACACTGCCAATTCTCTATTGAATGGTCCACACAGGATCATCTCCCTCAAGCTCTTCCCCCTTTGTCATCCCTTTTGTCTTTGCTTGGTGCCTTTTAGCTTCACAAAAGTACACTGGCATGGGACCACCATGTGCAATTATGCCCAAGGGAAAGGGACTCCCCTTTTGTTTTTGCCCCCAAAGGAAGATGAAGATGACCCACCAAATATTGGGGTGAAATATGTCATGATGGCATTCACACCTAAGCTAAACCAGTAACAAATAAGCAAACTGTTCATTGTTTGAGAGAAAAGAAACAGAGAAAGAAAGAAAACAACCCACCATTTGTCATTTGCATCATCAAGTTGGTCAAGGTAAAAGTTCATATTTTCATTTACTTACTAAAATGCATTCCATTTCATTAGGACATTGTTTTGTACAGGAAGAAAAATCATGCTTGACCCCTCACCATGGCCCATGTCAGAAAGTTTGATCTAATATGACTGACTCACTAATCTGATAGATCAAATGAACCATTAGATGACCTCTTGCTAATACAGTAATCATATTACTTACAGCCTTGCCAGCAGTAAATTCCATCTTTATTAAACTCATATCCTGGAAAAGTAATGTCCATAACTTTCAACAGAATCACCATATCACTCTTCAATTCCTACAAGATCTGCCTACACTAGATGAGGTCCACATGGGAAGAAAAGCTCACCTGGAATTGTTTTAGGGCTTCACGTATCATTCTTTTATGACATCTTTTCACACAAATATAAGAAAAGAGGAAAAGAAACTGAATATTTGAGCTGGATATGCCACTTAAATAACAAAAAAAATCTGATTAAGAAGGAGCAAACATGTAAAATTTATAGTTGCCAGCAATGTAGTTTTTCAATCCCCATTGAGCATGATATGCATCCCTGCCCTTCCTACTTATTGAAGTATTATTAAGAGTCGACACTGAATTGGAGAATAACAAATAGAAAGAAACGAAAGGAAGCATGCGACAAGGTCCAGGACCTGTCAAATGTACAAGCAGAAGACAACTGCAACAGTAAAGGTTTTCACAGAAGTGCAAAGCTCTATGCTAACAAAACACTTTGGTCGAGTGCAAACAACAAATGGAGAGCAAAACTTCTCAAAGTCTACGCTGAATTGCATAGAAAAACAAACACAAAGAAACAAAAGGAAGCATGCTACTAGGTACATGGTCCATCGAATGTATAAAAGATGACAACCGAAACAACACATTTTCTCATGAAATGTAAAGTTATATGCTTCCATCAAACAAACGGGACCAAAGAAAGCAACAAGATCAATTGGAAGAGACTTCTATACTACGATACAACAATGCTATTACTTCCACAGCAAATATCAGGACAGAAGATACCATGACTAAAACAGGATGAGTCAGTCTATCAGACTTGCAATGTGCATTTCTTTTGAGAATGCCCTAATAGATGACACCGACCACACTGAACTACACGCTTTGGACGTTTTAAACTCTCCATCCGAAGAACCTTCTTTTTGGGACGACCAGGCGGCCGACGAGTTTTAGGTGGTCGTATGATGATATCTGATTTGCCACTGCCACTTTCCATGCCCTCTGTTGATACTTTCCAAAGATTTCTATCTGGAATTGGATATATCGTTTGTGAATAGACCTCACGGTACTTCTGGACGCTGAAGCATTCCTGAGCATACAACCGTACATCTTCACCACAAGACAAAAGTGCAGCAGCAGCGTGTGCACAAGGTATACCATATATTTGCCAGCGACGGCATGAGCAAGACCGTGACTGTATATCAACAATATTAGTTCGCTCAGTTGATACGATTTCAAATTCCACTTTATTCGCTCGGAGAACTTGATAACATAGTGAATCAGCATTAGCTTCTGAAATGTGCTTTTCAGCAGAAGGCACAAGGACTGAGGTCATTGACAAACCAATAAGGCGACGGTCATTAAACCAAGAGGTTAGTTGGTTGCGGATGTGTTCCATCATTTGCACTACAGGAAGTTCATGGCCATCAAGCGCCCAATTATACAGAACTTCAGTGATACCCAATGTGAAGTGGCCATAACGAACCCCTTCAAAGTATGCAACTGCCCAAAGGCTAGGAGGAAAACGTTGGAACCAGGGCCTGACATCCTGAACTTCCATCATTTCATTTACTATGGACTCAAATTCAGCTGTCGTAAGGGCATAAACAGCGTTCCAGAAGAGATTAACTAGCTTTGAATTTTTGAACTCATCACGGAAGCTCTCGCTTACATGGCGCAGGCAAAATCCATGAGAAGCATTTGGGAAATTGTATTCAACAGCTTGTACAATGCCTTGATTCCTATCGGACAATATCGTCAACATAGGCATCTTATCTGTATTGACTCCAAATAGCTTACGCAGTTCTGTTACAAACCACATCCAATTATCATCACTTTCTATATCCACAATAGCAAATGCCAATGGGAATAACATATCATCAGCATCAACAGCTGAGGCACAAAGCAAGGTCCCTAGATATTTTCCTTTAAGATGTGCCCTGTCAAGTTCCAACAACGGCCGACATGCATAAAGAAAACCATAAATCGATGCACGGTATGAAATGAACAAACGATGGAAGCAGTTCTCTTGGCCTGTAGCATAAACTAATGCAATACTCCCAGGATTACTTTTTCGAATTTGCTCACAGTATGCAGGAAGAAGGCGGTATCCATCCTCTAGAGTGCCATGAAGGGCAGCCAGGCTACGCTCTTTCCCTCGCCATGCTTGCATATAAGATACAGCAACTCCATGTTGCTCGCGAATATCCTGCAATATCTCCTTCGGTTTATACTGTGGATTATCTCTTACCCGAGCCTCGACGGATCTTGCAACCCAGCCGACTGTGGCTTGCTGGTGATGGAGGTTGCGAACTCCTTCACACGTGTGCTCGCCATGTAAGGTCCTGATCGAGAATGTCGGCACACCTGGGCATTTAGCCACATGGACTCGCCATGGGCATCCTTCCTTTGAGCACTTAGCTATAAACCGACTGCGATCAGATTTAACAATCCGAAGCTCGAAATGTAAAGCTATTGCAATATCTTTTAGCGTCCTCCTGCAAGTTTCCACATCAGGAAACTCTTGACCAATAACCAAGGAGTGGTCCGTAGCGACTAGACTGTGATCCTGATGGACTACAGAAAGGCCAGCCATAGGAAGGCAACTACTATTTATGTTCTTCTTCTCATCCAGCAAAACATGCAATCTATTCTTCAGAGTAAAACCACAACCGTAGTTGGAGGCCACTAATTCAATTCTTCATAAAAGCAACCCATAACTCAATGTTGCTTCACTTGAACCGATTAGCTGCAATCATCTAATCTCCAAGACTGGAAACAGGAAAGGCCTGCGGATAGTGGAAGTACCATAACGAGGATCAAAGAAACGAGAACGAAGTGGTAAACAAAAGAAACTACTTTGACCTGAAAAACTTAAATACAAACACTAAAAGTTTTATCAATCAATTCGTTTGGTCTTTATTTATCCTTACGCTAACGGGTAGCTAAGAATACGAAATTTGGTTTGATGAAGGAAATTACCAAGAAAATATAACTCGGGAAGAGAAATCAAGCTCGCAACAGAACTAACAAGAACTATCAGGAACTGGAAGAAAACGTTTTTGATTCAGAATCCAGGAATGCGCATCAAAGCCTCGAACAAAACCGCATAGCCTTCGGATCAAATACGGAACAGCTTACAACTTTATAACCGGAAACCAAACAAAATCGTACCAAACACGCGAATTATGAAACACAAGGACCGTTCAGCCGAAACCAGAATCAGAGGCCCTAACCACAGACGCAAGAAAATAAAACCCTAGAAACCGGCATACCAATCGAATGGGAGTTCCAGGTCGTCCGACGAGGCAAACTTTTGAGGCAAAAACCCGTAGAGAATCGTCCCACGACGAATCGATAAAGATCCAGCGTCCGATTGTGGCCGCCGACGAGCACTCGAAACGCCGGCTCGACAAGCGAGACGGGGAAGGGGGAGGGGTGGGGGGAGGGACCCGAATGGGGCAAAAATGGTCGAGGATCGAGTTCTCGGCCCTCGGTTTACTGAAATGACCTTAAACGCCGCATCATATTACTTGCATAGGTGACCAACTAACGGAGCACCTGAACCGGTTCCTCTGCTCGGTCCGGTTCGATTCCGAATTGACGTAACCCATCCCGGTCCAATGTCGGGCAGTTTCATGCTCATAATTCAGTCATTGAAATCAAGAAAATTCTTAATTATAAAATAAATATATATAATAAATTAACATCTTATGTACACAATTAGGTTTGATGTGGTATAACGTACGTACACTCATGGGAAAGTCTCCGAGTTAGCCGAAGCTTATTACATAGTTTAATTGGAAGTGAAATAAGTCAAAATAAATCCCGCATGGTTTGACCATGCAATTGCAAAATTATGCTCTATTGAGATTAAATTAGTCGATGACTTATAGTAATCACATATTTGTTCTCCTTTGGTGCCATATTATTTTGAAATTGATCACACATCAGCTTGATCAAAATCGGGTCAGTTTAGCCGATGGATTAGAATATACTTTTTGATAAAATTTGAAAGTAATAATTATATATAAAACATATTCTCGTTGTCCAACATGTTGAGTTGCTAAGCAAATTTCAATTGAAGCTTAAGATGTCAAGAGATGAATTATACAAGACTGCTTAAGCTAGTCAAGATATAGAAGCATATAGTAAAAATGTGCTTAAGTAGGTGTTAGATTATCAATAATATAGCGCTTGACCGTATCAGATTCATTCTATTAATTTTAATATAGTAAAAATGGAAAAGGTCACTAATCACGTATTCGATTCCAAGCTTACAAAGTTATAATTAAGTAATTAAACTATGATATTTTAGTCTCTAATCACACATGACTCACAACTCTCATGGGCTGCACCTCTTGGGCCACGTCGCATGGCGCAAACGAAATATTAGGTTAGCCGACTGCCTCTTTTGCTAGTGTATCAAAATGTTGGCGGCAGTTCCAATTTTGCCGCCAGGCGAGGCAATTTGATGGGATCTCTCACCCATCGTCTTTCTTTTCCATATCGCTTGACCCTTCCATTTCGATCGCGTTTCCTAGCTGGAGTTTGCTTTCGTGACTTCGGCCTGGTAGCAGAAGATTAGAAAGAAGAAGGGATGGCGAGTTCATGGTAGCCCTGTTCTTGATGACGCCATCTTCCAAAGGAAAGAAGAACGAGAGTATTCCAGTTCGAATCATCAACCGAGGGAGGCAAAGGGGCAAAAGAACCCAAATTTGATGTTCCTTCAGGTAGCCCTCCTGTTCTTGCTGATGCAATCTTCCGGCAATGGAAGCAAATTATTCCAGTTAGAATCATCTGCCGACGGAGGCAAAGGGCCCAAAAAAAACCCGATTTTGAGTAGCCCTGTTCTTGATGATGAGGTTTTCCGGCAATTCGAGGTTCCTCCCGAAGGAATGGATCATGTGGAGGGAGACCACCGACCGCAGTGGAAGCAGCTGATTCCAGTTAGAATTATCATTTCAAGTATGTGTGGCTTCCATCTAATAATCTTCTGTTGCTTACACGAATTGTTCCTATGCAACAATACATTGGTCTTCTTTGTTGTTTCTTGCAAATTTTGGTTCTCTGGGAAAATTGAACTGCTTTCTCAATCTCGTTTTCTCGAGAGTATGAGGTAGAATTCTTTACGATTAGCCTTTCATTCATCAAATTATTCAGGTAATCATTCTGCCATCTAATGAAGTCAGATCAGAGTCATATGTTGGAAATCAACTCATGTTGGAATGGAGCAATGTAAGTGACACAAGGCAACATCATCTCATTCTGGTTTAGTTCAATGGACGCGTTGCCGCGACACACATCTCTTCCAGCTTTCGATCACTGTAAGGGACGCTCCTCAGCCGCAACAGGCTTCTCCTTCTCAGCTTTATGAGTCACCCATTCTTCTTCTGCGAGTGGTTTCAGCTCGCTGATCCCCGGATGGAGCTCTTCAGCCGCGGCAGCAGTAGCGGTCGAGCTCTCGCCGGCCGGCTCAGAGAGGTCGACTAGCGGCGTTTCCTTGCTCTCCTCGACCTCGACGCTCTCAGACTTAGCCTGCACATTCTGAAATCAAGGACATAATGCTGACATCGTTCGTTGAGAATATGCATGCAGGTAAGGTGCTCGAGGAAAGTACAAGCTTACCTCAGGGGGAGCAGGCTCGGCCGTGGATGGGTTCTCGGCGGCGGCAGGGCCGTCGGGGTTTCTGGGGCCATTTATCTCCTGAGGTTTGCTCGCACAGCCACCCATCGAGCCTTGTGCAGCAGAAACCTTACGGAGAGGAAGAACAGGTGAACAGAGAATCCCAAAAGCTTCCTTATATGAAGGATAGAGGAGAATTGGGTGTGTTCTTGTCCAAGTTTAGAAGAGGGATTCATTTGGTGGTTGTTTCCGGAGCCCTTTTAAATGGGCAAATCCTTCTCCGCCAACCTCGAGCTTTCAGGGGAAACCAGCGGTCAGCGTTGACGACAGTTTGTGGAAGTTGGTTTCCCGGGAGAAAAAGGCGTGAGAGGCTTCATGATCACCTCGAAACCGTCCATCCTATCATAGCTATTCATCTGGACCGTCCGCAAATGATTAGTATCAAAGAATCCGTATGATCGACCTACATGGGTGGCTGAGATTAAAAGTTATTATAGAATGGATGATCCAATGAGTTATCTCTAAATGGAGTCCATAAGCATTCCTATAATTATGTTATGAAATTTCTGCTAAATGGAAATTATGCAAAATATACCTAATTATATTTTTCTTGCAAATAAGCAAATACATGCAAAATTATAATATCAAAAGTTTTTATTTGAAACTTCTGAGTTTAAAATTTCAATTTGTGAATTATATTTTTAATTTAATTTATTATATTATTATCAATTTTAATCATCAGCTTGATCTGACTCACTTTTTAGAGAAAAATATTTTTTTTTATTCCCAAACTAAGGGGAACAAAAAAATCTTCTTAACACGAAAATTTGGGTGCGGATGATCTGATGCGACAAAAATATATTTTATATGCAAATATTTATTGTATCATGCTTGATTGGAAAACATTTTCGTTAGTATATGATACTGAGGTGACAAAAACGGTTGATATGTTTTGTCAGGATCAAAGGTGAAACCTAACGTCCGCGCATAGATCAAAATGCCACGTATTTTTGAAGAAAAAATACTTAATAATGATATCGAGAATCTATTAGTCGAGTGATCCACAACGACTGTTCCATGCATCTCTTGGGTTGAGGACTTTCGGATCAGCGATGACGCATCCGATTACGTCTCTCTTCCAATCGATGAAATCTAAGCTGCGGCCTCATGGATCACTGATGACGTCCTTTCTTGTCGTCCATGAAAGAAAGTGACAGCACCAAAGTCCATCTTCTCCTGGTTTACGGTGAAAGAAAGCTCTCTCTTCCGTGTAATGAAAGAGCCATTCTTAGGTGGCTTGAATCACACGTCTGAAAACTCCATTCGCTTTTCGCAATCACCCCCATTCCACTGACAGAGTCATTATAAGGAGAAGCAAATTTAGGATGATTTGGCCAAAAGATTTCAGTGGTACAGATAAACACCGTGCTTCATCTTTTTCTTGTTCATCCAATATATTTAATGCTAGACAAAGACATGTTAAAACTAAACGCTTAACCGAGATTTTTCGGGGTAGTTGGGAGGTTTGGAGGTCGCATGTAGGACAGGGTTTATTCAACCCCGTCGGGACTCTAAAAGAGGGCAAGTTGCACCCACTTCTTCATCATCATCATCAACAGCAGCAGCAGCAGGATTCAACAGGTCGATTACTACTGTTCTTTTTTGACATCTCTCCTCTTCTCTTCTCTGTCCACTTCCAATCTTATCTGATGTTTTCATGTTAGAGAAGCACAGTTTCTTATGCAACTTATTCTCAGTAAATGGAGAAGACAATTGATGGCATATTATTCTCAGTAAAGCCACTATTTTGCGGTACAAGCATGTAAACGAGTACTATGGCTGGAGTGTGCAGGTATTCTAGCAATGGCCGGTGAAGCTGGGACAGGAGACTGTCTTGCTTGGGCAGCAAGGGATGCATCTGGAACTCTTTCCCCCTATAGGTTCACACGCAGGTGTGCTTAATATGATCAAACTTGCTTTTGTTCTTTTGTGTCTTTCTCACTTTCTTTTAACTCTCATCTCATTGTTTTTAATGCAACACTGATTAGGGTTCGTCCTAATTGTTCTGCAGAGCTCTTAGAGGAGACGATGTTTCTCTGAGAATTACACACTGTGGAGTCTGTTATGCCGATGTTCTTTGGACTAGAAATAAGATTGGAGACTCCAAGTATCCATTGGTGCCTGGGTGAGCTCTTCTTCTGAACTTGAAGTATATTGTTTACAGACAAAGCCATACAAATTGGATCCATTTTCGCAGTCTATGCTCGTCAATTCTACCACTAAACCATGCCAATACTTGCAACATATCAGGCACGAGATTGTTGGCGTTGTCACAGCAACTGGTTCTGGCGTTAAAGACTTGAGGGCCGGCGATCATGTTGGAGTTGGGACTTACGTGAATTCGTGCAGGGAATGCGTGTATTGCAATGAATTCTGTGAAGTCTTTTGCTCCAAAGGAGCAACCTTTACGTTCAATGGCATGGATTCAGATGGCACGGTCACAAAGGGGGGTTATTCCAGCTACATCGTGGTGCATGAGAGGCAAGTCATGTTCCATGAGCTCGGTTTACAGGTCTGTGGTTTCTCCATGAACTCAGGTGATCTGTTGGGTGTCATTCCACAGGTACTGCTACAAGATACCTGATGGCTATCCCCCAGATAGGGCTGCTCCTCTGCTGTGTGCAGGGATCACAGTGTATTCTCCCATGATGCGGCACAGGATGAACCAACCTGGGAAATCTCTTGGGGTCATTGGATTGGGTGGCCTCGGCCACTTGGCTGTGAAGTTTGGGAAAGCTTTCGGCTTGCAGGTTACAGTCTTCAGCACCAGCGAGTCCAAGAGAGGGGAAGCTCTAGATCTTCTTGGAGCTGACAAGTTCGTGATCTCGTCGAACAAGCAGGAAATGGAGGTACAGAACCAACAGACTAAATCCCAAACAAACATGGATCCTAGTACTGCATTCTGATTCATCTTGTTTGCAGTCTTTGGCGAAGAGTTTGGACTTCATAATCGATACTGCTTCTGGAGCTCACCCTTTCGATCCTTACATGTCGCTCCTAAAGGTTCATGGGGTCCTGGTCCTTGTAGGATTCCCCGGCGAAGTGCGATTGAGTCCTCTAAGCCTTCTTCATGGTCGTCGTCTTCTTCTTCATCAGTATCGTCTTTGCATTGACCATGTTCATGCATGCTGATCGAACTTCTACGCTTGTTGCAGGTGCCAAAACCATATCTGGGAGTGCCACAGGGGGCACCAAAGAGACACAAGAAATGCTAGACTTCTGTGCAGCAAACAAAGTATACCCGGAAATCGAAGTGATTAAGATTCAAGACATAAATGAGGCACTCGACAGGCTCGTCAACAAAGATGTGAAGTACCGCTTCGTGATCGACATTGCAAACTCTCTCGACTAGCTCGATCTAGCAGCTTGAGCTTGCGTTCATCGCCTTGTGCTTGATATGATATAACAGAGCACTGCATGTTTCGTGGAAGATGTGACTTCTTGTTAATGGTGTCATTGTATCTTCCCGAGTCTATCAAAGTCAACACAACAGGCAATCATATGGACATATCGTGATACATTTCAAGCTAAAACACACGTTCAAATCAAATGGAATTCCAAGCTTGCAATTTTTGTATCCATGACATTGATCACTATCAGATGCTATACATAATGGGTGGATAGATAGGGTAGAGCTTTGCATACATATAGATTACCCACGGATTAACAAAAACTCAGATTTGTCATGACAAACTTTTTCCTACCGCTTCAACTCGGACTATAAGACATTCTCACAGGAGAAAACACAACAGTCAATGGTGCATGATCTGACAGAGAGTAGTCTTCTGGCCACATTCCCTTCTCGACTTCCGGTGGAAAAAGAACTGCATCTTTTACTCTGAAACCAAAGGCCTGGTGCTTCCCTATGCTCGTTGCTGATCCTCGCTCGGTCCCTTGCCCTAAAATCTCGTTTGGATGCTCCGACCATTTTAGACTCCAAATTCGCTTCTGAAAAGCATTTAATTCATGAAGCTAGGATAAGTTACAAGAAATAAAAGGTCAATGGTCTGAAAGGTAGATTCATGTAACCATCTTTATAGCAAACATTAAAGACAAATTAATAAAAAACATCATCTTTAATGAAAATTATGTCGAGAATCTGAAAACAAAACACTATCTGTGCCCAACCACTCACTCCCTTAATCATTTCCACTTAATAAAAGATGCATGATGTTCTTACAAGTATACCTCCTTAAAAAATGTAAGCATAAGACACATTACAGGCTTGAAGTTTACCATAAATTCTTCATAGTTGACAACACCATCCCCATCGATGTCAGCTTGAAACCATAAATCTTTTGCATCTTCGGGACCAAGACCGTCAAGCTGGCTAGTTATGCCTAACTGCATTAATTCAACACATCAGACTATCCTTTTATGATTTCAAAAGGTCTCTTACTCTTATCTGAAAAACTGCTACCTGGTGGAGTGCTTGACAGAAACCCGAGTAGATAATATAATCACCAAGATTGTCAGCCTTTAGGAATGCAAATGCATCATCATTTGTAAGAGAAGCTGCTTGCAGAAGATACTGAAACAACGAACTACAAATTGTTAGCACAATCCCAATAAGATAAAAAATTTCGAAGTAGATAACCTAAAAAAGAAGGCCCATTCACTTTGTAAGCAACAGAATGTTTTTAGAATTCCTGCAGAAAATGCGAAGGTACAACATATAATGATTTATAACTCAATAGAATATGAAACAAGATCTCCAATATAAATCCACTTAAAATACAATAAAAACCACAAATCCAATTTAAATTCCACTCCTAAACACCCATCCTCTTCCTCTTATCCATCAGCAAAGATACAAAGTACACGTATATTTAGGCAGCAAAATATACTTGAGATGGATAGTGTTTTACATGTTACTGAATCACAAAAAATCTCTTTCTTGACAGTTAATCAATTGACAATTCCTAATGTCTATGACTCTATAATTATATCTTTTAGCTCTTATTAGTAAGTTGAAAAATTTTAGTATGTATGATGGAAAAATGCACCTCAAGAGTTTCAGGAAATAAAAAGAGACAAAGATGATGTATGAAAATTTCAAACATAGTCTTCACCTTAATAATGCCAAATACTGCTTCACTCCAGCTAGTTCGAAGGGGCTTCCTATACATGTTTGGATTCAAAAGCCATATAAAATCAACCCCACAGATGTTCCCACGGTGATTACGGTGGCTAACCCACTGCAAGAGAAAAAAAAGCGGGAAATGTAAAATTGCATAAGAAATTAATGCTCTTAACATCAAACTAGCGTGATGCATGTCTAAAAACTTAAAGATTACCTTGTGGCAATCTGCATCATTGTCAGTATAGTGGTGAGCTGTATCATATGATGATACAAACCCTTGAGACCGAAGAAACTTATAAACATGACCACGTTTGCTTCCGTTCCAGTCTCTGAACAATATAAATGAAGATGAGGAAATTTGGTTTGACTCAAAAATTTATAAGGAAATGAGTGGTACTCACCCACATAGTACAATAGGCATGGGACTAAGATTGTGCTCCTTCTGGTATGTTTCTATGTAAAGAAGGATCTTATACACCTATCAATTATAACAACAAGGTAAGGTCCCGGACAGGGTTCCAATGGATGTACCAAATAAAAAAGAGTTCGGAACAAGTTGGTGTACCTGTTGCAAACGAACTATACACAGGCTAGAGTCATGAGGAAATAACAAATGGGTATTCACAATGATAATTTGTGCATGAATGTTGCTATTAGGTCCTTGCAATACAGGAACAACTGATTCGACATGTAATAGCTGAGCAACACGGTCCCCAAAATCATTAAAGAGCAACTCTCGATAGTTTAGAATCCTAAAATGGTCTCTACGAACAGCTGTGAGAAGGCCTGTATGCAAATGCGTGCAATAATTGTAAGTGGAATGCATTAGCAAGTAGTATAAATTAAAGTAAGAATATATTTCATTTAGTTGTAAAACAAATGAATAACTTGGTCATTTTGCATTATTGTATTTAGAGTTCATTAATTTTCAAGATGTTTCCATCTTTTACTATGAAGCATCTATGTCTACAAAATGCATTGGAAAAACTGAAACATAATTTAAGCAACCAAAGTTGAGAAGTGCAAATGAGAACTGATAAAGTTACTTTTTTACAGAGATGTTGAATGAAACTTTTAACCGAAGATAAACATATACTGAAACCAACTTCATGCTAACTCTCAACCATCAGAAAACAAACACAACCTTGAATAAACTGCATGGCCACTCTTAGTTTCACTGAGTTTCAACATTTAGTGTGACAGTTGTTTAAACCAATGAAGTGTAATTGATGATGGGTTAGAAGAAAAAAGGTATAGATTTCTCAATGACCAATTTGCAAAAGTGAAAGTGAACCCAGTCTACCTCCTCAAAAAGTACATGTTTCAGAAGCAACCTGCAATGCCAGTAAACATTTCAAATTTACTTTATTACGTTGAAGAATCATAGTATATTGACTGTTGATGCAACTATTATTGACTGCCAAGTATCAACACTTTATTATCGACCAGGACCGAGACTTCCAATATTAAGTGATAGAAGGACTAGAAAACAGATCGCGCAAGGGAAAAATAAAATTGCCAATACATTTAAGTGGAGGTGAATTGGTTTAACTTAGGAAAAACATGTAATTTCCTTTGTTATGCGTAGAACCCCACCACCTAAAATATCAATCAACCAGCATAAAGGTCTGTATTGTAAAAAATTCACAATATACATCAAATTTATGACAATCGGCGGCAATGCACTGATCTTCCAAACATCAAAACAACTACAAGATATATATTTAAACAGTTCTTTCCACAAAAAGTGTGTATCTGAACAAACAAAAAAAAATCAATTCAAGTGAAAAGGAATAAACATATTTCTTCCGTGTAGGGAAAAAGACTAAATTTTCAAGGAATATAAAGGTCTCTCTAATGGAGGCGGTTGACAGAACAATGTGGGTGTGCAATCAATAGTGCTTAGGAAATAAAAAGAGAACACACCATCACCACGATTGTTGGTCCGAGCAAGCTTGAAACTGATATAACCCGCATCGCCAAGCCTCTTCTCATACATGTCTACGAGCTCCTCATTCCCCAACCAAACCTCCTACAAAGATCCAAACATAACATCGCTGACCACGTTAGAACCCTAAGACCCCTGCATCGAGAACGAAACCACAAGGGCTAAAGATCTCGCCTGCAGACAAATGACGGAGGACCGATCTCCCAAAAGTCGGTCGATGATGCTCTGGTTCCTACTCTGCCAGTACGCCCTGTATTGGCTCTCCCGGCAACTCTGGTCCTACCATAGCAACAAAAGAATCCTTAATCAAAGAGGCCCAAGCAAAACCAATCAGAATCGGACCTAAATCGACCGACCAGATTCACGCGGCCCACCTTCTCGCTGAGGCGCTTGTAGATGGGCGCGAAAATGTTGAAGGTGGTACAAGAAACGCAGCGCTCCGAGATCATCCTACGAGAGAAGGCAAGAGAGATCTAGAGGGAGGAAGACGATCGCTGTTCGTGGCTGTACTGGGGATTTATAGAACGACGAAGACGAAGCCACGGGCGGAGGGGAGAGGAAGAGGAAGGGGTGCGAGTGACCGCCTCAACCGGTTGCGCCGTAAGGCGGCTTGCTTGGGTCTCGGAGGTGGTAACCGCGAATACCCGGTCTCTGGTACCGGTGGTCGATCCGCGCGGGGATATGCTGGTAAGTTGATAATCTCAGCCGTCGGATTCGTGCACTTCCGCACTGTAGCGCATCTGATGATGAGCCTCTCCACCGTTGGATTTACAATGGGGTCCGCAGAATCTATGGTGATGGGAGAAAATGATATCTTGGCACATATTCTATTATTAGCTATTGAAATTCCAACGCATGGCAGATATTCTCTCTTTAATTTAAAAAGCTCATAATAGTAAAAATAAAAATAAGGTATTGAATCCAACATTTAAGGTGAAAAAATTACTTTGAATACCAATCAAAAAATATTTAAAAGATTTATATGCAAAAAATTAAAATTATATTTAATGATATAATAAAAAAATAAGAAATAATATTTTTCTCCCTAAGTCGCACTACTCAAAAAGCATATTCTTTTGTATCATCTCATCCCAAAATGGGGATGCCTCAGTTATATAAAAAATATTATTTAATATTAATTTGATGATAGTGTAAGAAATCGATTTATCAGAATCTATATATTGGGTTCAAAACTTCATTTAACAAAATTTTATATCTCAAATATTGATATGGCAATTATATATCAAACTCATATAATAAGATTTGAGAGTTTGATTTCATCCGATAAATTTTTTTAATATATTAATTAATTTAGTTGATAAAAATTTAATGGTTGAAAATTGTATTTTCATCACTTTATAAAAAATAAAAATATGGGAGAATTCTAAAAAACACCCATAGCTTTAGTTTTTTCTTGTAGAGTATTTCAATTTTAAAGGATAATATTAACTTTGAAAAATCGTTTATGTTCACATAAGATTAAATCTGATATAAAACTGATTTAACTTAAACCAATTTTTTATTATACGATATATATCCTTATTTCAC